GTTAGAATGTTGATTGATAATTGTATTTTTTCTATTATTTCTTGTTTCTCAGTTGTCACCTTTGAAATTTTGTCTGATGACTACTCAAAGGTATGTTTTATAGCATTGGTTTGTACTGACTAAATTCAATAAATGAGTGAGTGGAATTTATTTTTATGGTAAGGAGTTTTATGATATTTCTGTTGTTAAACTAAAATAGCTGTGTAGTTCCATTGCTAAACTACAATGGTTGTATAGTAAAATGTAACCTATTATTTTATTAATATGCTTTTTTTTTTGAGACAATCTCACTCTGTCGCCCAGGCTAGAGTGCAGCTTACTGCAACCTCCGCCTTTCGGGTTCAAATGATTCTCCTGCCTCAGCCTCGTGAGTAGCTGGGATTACAGGCACGTGCCACCACGCCCGGCTAATTTTTTTTTGTATTTTTAGTAGAGATGGGGTTTTACCCTATTGATCAGGCTGGTCTGGAACTCCTGACCTCATGACCTGCCCATCTAGGCCTCCCAAAGTGCTAGGATTGCAGGTGTGAGCCACTGCACTGAGCTATTAATATGTATTTTAAAAGATGTATGGCTTTCTTGCCAGGGCTGGAGTGCTGTGGTGCAGTCTCGGCTCATTGCAACCTCCATCTCCTGGGTTCAAGCAATTTTCCTGTCTCTGCCTCCCGAGTAGCTGGGATTATAGGCTTGCGCCACCAGGCCTGGCTAATTTTTTTTTTTTTTTTGTATTTTTAGTAGAGACGGGGTTTCACCATGTTGGCCAGGTTGGTCTTGAACTCCTGACTTCATGATCCTCCCGCCTCGACCTCCAGAAGTGGGATTACAGCCATGAGCCACCGCCCGACTGTATAGCATCTTTTAAAATGATTATGATACAGATAGCCTTTGGCCAATCTAAAGTCTAAATTAATTTTTCATGTCACATATGAGACCTTATTTATAGTTTGAAGAGTTGGCAGCAGTCATCTTTTATATCATCTTATATTCTAGATTTGTGATTCTGATCATGATGTTTAACCCAGATTTATTTGCCAGGTTGCTTTCATTTTCTTATTTATATGTGAAAAGTAAACTAGCAGGGTTGTATGTTTAACTTTTTTTTTTTTAACCTTGTAAGTGGTTGTGGTATATTCTGAAACAGTTGAAAATACAGCTGAGTAGATTTCTATCCTTTTTTGATGCCATTAGTCCATCTTTCTTTTTTTTCTTTTTTTTTTTTTTTTTTGAGACGGAGTTTCGCTCTTATTACCCAGGCTGGAGTGCAATGGCGCGATCTCAGCTCACCGCAACCTCCGCCTCCTGGGCTCAGGCAATTCTCCTGCCTCAGCCTCCTGAGTAGCTGGAGTTACAGGCACGCGCCACCACGCCCAGCTAGTTTTTTGTATTTTTAGTAGAGACGGGGTTTCATTATGTTGACCAGGATGGTCTCGATCTCTTGACCTCGTGATCCACCCGCCTCGGCCTCCCAAAGTGCTGGGATTACAGGCTTGAGCCACCGCGCCTGGCCAGTCCATCTTTCAACTCTTTTTTTTTTTTTTTTTTTTTTTTTTTTTTTTGAGACAGGGCCTCACTCTGTCACCCAGGCTGGAGGGCAACAGCGCAATTTTGACTCACTGCAGCGTCAACTTCCTGGGTTCAAGCGATTCTCCTGTCTCTGCCTCTGCCTTCGAGTATCTGGGTCTATAGGCATGCGCCTCCACACCCGACTAATTTTTGTGTTTTTAGTAGAGATAGGATTTCACCGTGTTGGCCAGGCTGGCCTCAGACTCCTGACCTCAAGTGATCCGCTTGCCTCAGCCTCCCAAAGTGCTGGGATTATAGGTGTGAGCCACCACGGCCAGCCAGTCTTTCAACTCTTATAGTCACTTTCAACAGTTATAAAATTGTCAGTAAACTTTTTATTTTAAAATGAAAAATTTTTAGTGACGTCAAATGGCATCTTGAAAGAAAATTGAACTTCCTTAGCTGACAGGGCTTTATATATATTCAGTTTTGGAAACTGGGGAGTACAGTTTATCCTTTAGTTTTTGGTAGTCATTTATCATATGTTTTGGGACATGTAATTTTATAATTTATTTTTTCTAAATATTGATAAGTTTGCCTTTAAATACCATCTGTTGTGTTTTTGTTTTTGTTGTTGTTGTTGTTTTTTTTTTTTTTTTTTTTTTTTTTTTTTTTTTTTTGAGACGGAGTTTCACTCTTGTTACCCAGGCTGGAGTGCAATGGCGCGATCTCGGCTCACCGCAACCTCCGCCTCCTGGGTTCAGGCAATTCTCCTGCCTCAGCCTCCTGAGTAGCTGGGATTACAGGCACGCACCACCATGCCCAGCTAATTTTTTGTATCTTTAGTAGAGACGGGGTTTCACCATGTTGACCAGGATGGTCTCGATCTCTTGACCTCGTGATCCACCCGCCTCGGCCTCCCAAAGTGCTGGGATTACAGGCTTGAGCCACCGCGCCCGGCCGTTGTTGTTTTTTAAGATGGGGTTTCACCATGATGGCCAGGCTGGTCTTGAACTCCTGACGTCAGGTGATCCACCCACCTCAGCCTCCCAAAGTGCTAGGATTACAGGCGTGAGCCACCGTGCCCGGCTTGTTTGTTTTTAAGACAGAGTCTTGCTCTTGTCGCCCAGGCTGGAGTGCAATGGTGCGATGTCAGTTCACTGCAACCTCTGCCTCCCGAATAGCTTGGATTACAGGCATCTGCCACCATACCTAGCTAATATTTGTATTTTTAGTAGCGATGGGTTTCACCGTGTTGGCCAAGCTGGTCTCAAACTCTCGACCTCAGGTGATCCACCTGCCTCAGCCTCCCAAAGTGCTGGGATTATAGGTGTGAGCCATTACATCCAGTCCTGCTGATGTTTAAGATAACCCTTTAGTACACTAAAGTCAGATTTATGCAAGGAGTTTATCATACCTTGTGTGTTAATGGTAGGATTATTTAAATGTGATCCCAAGTGAAAGAAGAAATTGCTCATTGAGGTAACCACCTGGCGTGACATGCTGGTGCCAGGTAAATGAAGGGCATCGGTTTCAAGTCTTTCAGTTAGTAGGTAAGGTTTGCAGAAAAAGCTGTCAGCATACAGGAAGGCATTAGGGAGCCAATGCAGAGTTTTCATTCTTAGTCCCAGTGGAGAGTGTGTGCATGGACATGTGTGTTTAGAAAGAGAAAGTGAGAGAGAGGTGTCAGAGTTTTTCTCCATTTGCCAGTTTTTTAGTGATAATGAAATAAACACCTAGCTAGAAATGTAAGCCAACTAATGTTCTTGCTTTATTTTCAGATCGTCTTCTTACATAATGATAGATACATTGAATTTCATTCGCAATCAGGTTTTTACTACAAAACCAGAATACCGAAGTTTGGGAGAGATTTCTCTTACCACTATCCATCCTGTGACTTGTACTTTGTTGGTGCAAGGTATTGGATCTAGTCCCCTTCTTTTCACCTCCTAAAACAACCAACTTCTGTTCTTAAATTTCTTTACATTTTCTCTCTTTTAGATAGCTTGTTTCATTTAAAAAAAATGATATGGGGCTCTTGTTTTTTAAAAAGTAGACAACAAAAGACAGGCAAAAAACATTCTGTTTTCTACATATTGATTTATTTATAAGTACCATATACTATGTTATATGTATATTTTCTAATGTTATATTTAATATTTTCTAATGTTAAAAATATCTGTGATTAGGCCGGGCGCGGTGGCTTACACCTGTAATCCCAGCACTTTGGGAGGCCTAAGCCGGCGGATCACCTGAGGTTCAGAGTTCGAGACCAGCCTGACCAATATATGAGGAAACCCTGTCTCTTTAAAAATATATCTATATCTGTGAGAGTTCCCTGTCTCATTGGGAAATACTGATGGGAAGTGCGTGAGTCTTTTCAGTATAGTCCAGTTGTCACAATTTATGAGATACAATGTTGTTTTATTTACCGGTTTATCTTCCAGATTTCTGCCTCTACTTTAAGTTTGTTCCATATTGGTAATTAATTTCTTATTTATTTATTTTTAGAGACAGAGTCTCACTCTGTCGCCCAGGCTGGAGTGCAGTGGCATTATCTCAGCTAACTGCAACCTCCATTTCCTGGTCTCAAATGATTCTCCTGCCTCAGCCTCCCAAGTAGCTGGGATTACAGGTACCCCTACCACCATGCCCGGCTGATTTTTGTATTTTTAGTAGAGATGGGGTTTCACCATGTTGCCCAGGCTGGTCTCAAACTCCTGACCTCAGGTGATCCACCCTCCTTGGCCTGCAAAAATGCTGGGATTACAGGCGTGAGCTAGTGCACCTGGCCTGTTTGTTTGTTTTGAGATGGAGTTTCGCTCTTGTAGCCCAGGCTGGAGTGCAATAGTGCAATCTTGGGTCACTGCAACCTCTGCCTCCTGGGTTCAAGCGATTTCTCCTACCTCAGCTTCTCGAATAGCTGGGATTACAGGCATGGGCCACCATGCCTCGCTAATTTTGTATTTTTAGTAGAGATGGGATTTCTTCATGTTGGTCAGACTGGTCTCAAACTCCCTACCTTAGGTGATCCACCCACATCAGCCTCCCAAAGTGTGGGGATTACAGGTGTGAGACACCATGTTTGGCCTCTTTTTTTTTTTTTTCCTTAAACAAAGCATTATTGTTACCTATTTCACTATGAGTATTGGCAGTTTATCTACAATATTTAATGAGATAAATTGTGGGCAAAAATTTAGTACAATTTCAATAGAAACACCTTTTTTTCCCCCTGTAAATACATCAATATTTGAAGGACTGATTTCTTTAAAGAAGAATGAGACATGATCTCTGCTTTTAAGTTGCTTAAAGGGTCTAATTCCTATGTGACTTACTCATTTAGATATTACCTTTTGGGCTTCTGTTAGTATGGTGCTGAATTTGGAGATATACATTATAATCTAGTTGATAAAGTTAGTTTCTTAGCCCTGTTGCACAGTATTTTAAAGCTTTTTATTCTAAGTACCTTTTTGTTTTTATTTTTACTTTTTTTGTGTCAGTAAAATCTTTTATTTGGTTTATATTTCAAGTATAATTTTAAAAGTTTGTAAGCCAGGAAATTTGATAATAGGAAAGTGAGGAGAAACTAAGCTAGACCATTTAGATAAGCTCAGGGACAACATTCATTTATAAAAAATCAAAAATTTGATTTTTTTCATGCCATCAGTTGCACTTAAACATATCCATCATATTTCAGTTGCAAAAGATGGTGAAGAACTCAAGCCGAAAGGTGTCTGCTGACTTGTTGCTTCAAAAAGAACTTTTCATCATCAGTTTTTAGAAAGTATGCGTGGCTCTCCTTCTGTTGATCACTTTCTTGATTTGGCAAAGAGAACAGTGAGGACAGCAGAGGGGTTACCAAATAGTCATCACCAACAGATCCAGGGGTGCCATACTGGGTCCTATAGAGTCCTCATTGCGACGCTTGTTCCACACAGACAGCATTAATTCATGTCAGCTGCAATTTGACACCCAAAGCACACAACACAGTGTGCCACAGAGACAGACTCCACAGTCGCTGCAGCAGTCACATGCCTGTCTGCCAGTTGGAGTTCTGGGGTGTGGGACTGAGTCCAGGTTGGGTCACAACGGCCATCAGCGCCTGAGCTTGCATTTTCAGTGCAGGGCCTTAAAAGCTGTGAACTGAAAAGGGAAAGAATCTGTTTTTGCTTTCTGTAAAGATGGGGTCTCATTATGTTTCCCAGGCTGGTCTCGAACTACTGGGCTCAAATGATCTCTTGCTTTGGCCTCACAAAATGTTTGGATTACAGGTGTGAGCTACTGTACTTGGCCTGTATTATATTTATAGTCACCAAAAAGGTAACTTTTGGCCAGGCATTTGGCTGGTGGCTATTATGTATACATATATAATGCATTAAAAAAAATCTAAATACATATTCATTTTAGAAAATTGGGAAAATGTAGAAAAGAAAAAATTCAGGCCAGATGTGGTGGCTAATGCCTGTAATCTAGCACTTTGGGAGGCCAAAGTGGGCAGATCACCTGAGGTCAGGAGTTTGAGACCAGCCTAGCCAATATGGTGAAACCCTATCGCTACTAAAAATACAAAAAATGAGCCAGTGTGGTGACGGGCGCCTTTGAGCTGAGATTGTGCTGTTGGACTCCAGCCTGAGCAACGAGTGAAACTCTGTCTCACACACACACACACACACACACACACACACACACACACACACAAACCCCAAAAACTTCAGCCTAATTATACCGCCCGGAGGGAATCCTTATGTTTCCTTCTAGTCCCTTCTTCTATACATACGTAGATACATTACATGTACTTTGGGATCTTGTATTCACCATGTTATTTGTAAATAGTATTCTACTTAATGACTTCACAATATTTCCTTGGCACATGAGTGGTTTAAATCACTTTTATACATTGACAAATTCATAAATCAGGTGAATATTTTTCAGATTTAGCATACATGTTTGTATCACTTTTACAAAAGGAAGTGATGTCTTATGAATGATGTGTATTTATAAAATTTACATTTAAAGAAAATTTTATTGTAGTTTAGCAGATTTTTAACTTTCTTTATTACTTTACAGTTCTGAAGTTTATAGGTTAAACTTAGAACAAGGACGTTACCTGAATCCTCTACAAACTGATGCTGCGTGAGTAGTTTTTGTAATACTGTTATATACATTTTGACCAGGAGATGGAGCCAGATGCTCAATTCATTAACAAGTAATGTAAAATACTGCAATTGAGCAAAACTCTCAGCAACTTAGAAAGTACTGTTGAATTTATTCTTTCTTTCTTTCTTTCTTTATTTTGAATTTATCCTTAAACAAAAAATTCACTGAAAGATCTGGTGATTACTTTAAACCAGGCGTCCCCAAACTTTTTACACAGGGGGCCAGTTCACTGTCCCTCAGACTGTTGGAGGGCCGCCACATACTGTGCTCCTCTCACTGACCACCAGTGAAAGAGGTGCCCCTTCCTGAAGTGCGGCGGGGGGCCGGATAAATGGCCTCAGGGGGCCGCAGTTTGGGGATGCCTGCTTTAAACATTTAAAAATAAGGTTTTTTTTGTTTTTTTTGGGGGGGGGGGCTTGGGAGTTTATTAAGTGATGCTTTAGTCTCAGTCTCTGTAAAAAAAGCTTTTTTTTTAATATGCTCAAATTTAAGCCAATTAAAAATACTCAGTTTATTATTATTATTATTATTTGCAGTGTTCTTTAAATTTGCATTCATGGTTTTGTTTTGTGATATTTTCTCCTGTGGAGAAGTTTTGAATTGGAGTGTTGGAGTGTCATTTTTTAAATTAAATTAAATTTAATTTAATTTTTTTTTTTTTTTTTTTTGAGGCCGAGTTTCACTCTTGTTACCCAGGCTGGAGTGCAATGGCGCGATCTCGACTCACCACAACCTCCGCCTCCTGGGTTCAGGCACTTCTCCTGCCTCAGCCTCCTGAGTAGCTGGGATTACAGGCACGCGCCACCATGCCCAGCTAATGTTTTGTATTTTTAGTAGAGACGGGGTTTCACCATGTTGACCAGGATGGTCTCGATCTCTTGACCTTTTGATCTACCTGCCTTGGCCTCCCAAAGTGCTGGGATTATAGTCGTGAGCCACCGCGCCCGGCCTGGAGTGTCATTTTTAAATTTTTATGTTTTGCTAGCAGACATTTAAGGGTTTTTGTTTTGTGTTTTTGGAGATGGAGTTTCGCTTTTGTTACCCAAGCTGGAGTGCAATGGCGCGATCTTGGCTCACTGCAACCTCCGCCACCTGGGTTCAGGCAATTCTCCTGCCTCAGCCTCCTGAGTAGCTGGGATTACAGGCACGCGCCACCGTGCCCAGCTAATTTTTTGTATTTTTAGTAGAGACGGGGTTTCACCTTGTTGACCAGGATGGTCTTGATGTCTTGATCTCTTGACCTCGTGATCCAAAGTGCCGGGATTACAGGCATGACCCACCATGCCTGACCCCATTTAAGGGTTTTAAAGGTTTCCTTTTATCATACATTTTAGTCTACACATATGTATTCTGCAGCAGAAGTATTTAGGAATGAATCCATGATCATCATCACAACAAATAACAGCCATGAACACAGTGGGAGAGCACTTAACTTTGTGCCAGGTGTTATTCAGTCCTTTTACTTTTATTAACTCATTTTAAACTTAGAACAGATTTTTTGATAATACCATTTTACAGATAGGGCAGCTGAGACTCAGAGAGGTAAATAGTTTGCCCAAGGCCACACACCTGTCAACGGTGGAAGCTGGATTACTTCTCATTATGTATTATGAGGAGCCTGCTGAATTGCTTTGAGAGGATTTTTTAAGGCTAGACGAACATATTGTGATAAGAACCAAGTAAACTCCAGTATTTTTTTTTTCACATTGGCTAGAAATGCTTTTATTTTTATTTTAAGGAAATTGTAGTAATTTCACAATGCATTGAGTGTCCTCTATACTCCAGACACTGCTGACCACTTTGCAGTCTTTTTCATTTAATCTCCATAACAACCCCCTGAGGTGAAATAGCCATTTTACAGAGAAAGAAAATAAGGCTTAGAGTGACATATCCAGGACAAGCTTGTCAAGGCTCAGGATTGTCATGGTGATAGCCTGTGTTCTTTTAAAAATGTTACCTTCCTTGGAAGAAAATACCTTGACAAAATCGAATGACCCTTTCTTCTCATGGTGATGGAATAGTATTGAAGTCCTTACTTGTTTGTCACCTAGCAGGTAGTGTGTCACCCTGGGGATCAGAAACTCCAGTGACTGTGAGCCAAGCACTTAACCCTTTCATACCTTGGTGTTTTCCATTGGCAGATTAGTGAGAGAGCATCTCCCTAGAATTGGGGTTGACTGTTTATTTAATACTCCTTCCCCCTTAAGTAGGAGCTAATACTTTCTCTCTTACTGCTTCTGTGTTAGGGAGAATAATGTTTGTGACATAAATTCAGTGCATGGCTTGTTTGCCACAGGAACCATAGAGGTAAGCATATGTCGACTTTATTTTTTAGACGTTTTATATTTGAGAATGAGAAGAATTTTTATTTGAAGACTGAGGTGCTTGATTCCTTAGGGCAGGATGATAATGAGGTGATAGCTTGGGGTTTGCTTTTTATATGGAGCATTTGCGTTTCCCCTGCTACAGACTACACCAGTTGTGCCTCAGGTTACCCACACCTCTACACCCATCTGGGAACCAGCTGCAGGAGAGCCCTGCAGACAGCTGCTTGCACATTCTTACTGGGAGACAATAAGTTAAGGAGTCCCAGTGCTCTCACTGATGAGATAGTTTTGTGATTGTGAATTAGCTCCTTTCCCTTAGGCGTAGTTTCTTAACTGGTGAAATGGAGATGATACTGCTTACCTTGCCAACTTTATAGAGGTGTGGGTAAAAATCACATCAGATAACCTGCGTGAAAACCATGTGAACTATGACGGTATATAGGATGGTGATGTCAACATCCTGTAGAGTAGCATTCAACAAATATTGAGATGAACGTACGTAGCATTTTTCTTTTAAACTAGAGTATCTTTGAATCAGTGTCCTTCACACTTACCAATAATTTTTTCTGATTTGCATTTTCCACTTAAAACAATAAATACCGTTTTTAAAAAATGCAAATATGTGAGAAGGATGTAATTTTAATTAGAAAGTGCCCTTTTATACTTTCCCGTCACCACATCCTATACCTCAGAGGCAACACTTTATTTTTTTTTATTTTTATTTTTTATTTTTTGCTTTTAGACAAGATTGTGAAAAAAGGGGTAACACTTCAGTGGTGTGGAGTAATATCGTTTCCGATTTTTTTTCCAAGTGCTATATGCCAATATTCATGTGTGTACATATATATTTTAAAAAGTGTTTTACAAAACTGAAATTGTATTCTATCATAGTTCTGCATTTGCTTTTTTTTAGACATAACAGTATATAATATACATCTTATTGGTACTTATAATCACTAACAATTCTAAACTAATTAAAAAAAATTTACAGGCCAGGTGCAGTGGCTCACGCCTGTAAATCCCCCCACTTTGGGAGGCTGAGGCAGGCAGATCACTTGAGATCAGGAGTTCGAGACCAGCCTGGCCAACATGGTGAAACACCATCTCTACTAAAAATATTTAGCCGGGTGTGGTTGCGCACACCTGTAGTCCCAGCTCAGGAGGCTGAAGCAGGAGAATCGCTTGAACCTGGGGAGCAGAGGTTGCAGTAAACTGAGATTTGGCCACTGTACTCCCACCTGGGTGACAGAGTGACACTCCATCTCAAAAAAAAAAAAAAAAAAAAAATTACAGATAGCATTCTGTTGTTTGTGCTATAATTTATTAACCCAGTCTCATATGGATGGAATTAACTTTTTTTTGAACTCAAATCATTTTTATGTTAAGAGATTAGTGCAACCACAAAAAAAACCCCAAATCATGCCCTTTGCAGCAGTACAGATGCAGCTGGAGGCCATTGCTCAGAGCGAATTAAGACAGGAATGGAAAACCAAATACTTGCATGTCCTCACTTGTGAGTGGGAGCCAGCCATTGGGTACTCGTGACCGTGATGGTGACCACACTAGACACTGGGGACAAGTAGGTGGGGAAGGGAAGGAGGGAGGCGGGGGTTGAGAACGAACTGTTGGC